AGAATTTGTTTCCTTTTTAATTTTTAAACGATTTTTAAGTAATATATGGTCATTAGCCCCTGAGAACTGCCGTGTGAGCTTCCGAACCGACTCGGTCGCGGCACGCGTAAAAGAAAAATCTAATCGAACTAAAAGTTATTTTTCTAGAAATAGTTCACCTAGGGCTATATTCTGACAAAGTTTGGGGATTTTCGATTTTTTCATTTTGCACGCCCCCAGGCGATATTTACGGACGGCCGCTCTTAAGAGGTCATTTTCAGTCTGAGTGTCATAATGTGAAACTGCCACTGAAATGGTTGATGGAAAAACAGCATATAAGTCACACGGATCAGGATTCCAGAGGATGAGTTTCTCAGGTCCATCTTTGATGTGGAACAGAAGAGAAAACCTGAGTCTTGCAAATCAGGACTTTCAGTGCCTTCAGTAAGGATTCACGAGCAGATCGAAGATGTTCGATTTTAGATGGACGTAGACAAGGGAGCGGCAGCTCCAATTCTTAATTACATAGATTATGAGCGGTATTTAAAGTACCTTGCACTAAAAATCTGATTCTTCTTCAGCCTGTGCAAATAGATAAAATTAAGTAAACAGAACAACCCACTCTCCTTTACAGTACACGATTACCAGATATGTGTTGAGATTTTGTGGAATAGCATATTTATTCTGAAAACATCCTTTTTTAGGTCCCTCGGTGTCATTTTCAGCAATGAAGACATGCTTTCTATTCTACAACAGTTCCATATGTACCTTCCTCCTTCAGCTGACAAAGGATACGATTCACACCTATTTTTAGGGGATCAACTCACTGTTGAGAGGGCAGTCACCGTTATCTCCTCAGTTGCTAACGGTTACAAACCAAAGGATCGTTTAGAAGGAATTACCTTGCAACTGGGTAATTAGCACGCTGGAATCAAAATTCTATCAGTAAGTTAAAAAAAATTATTATCATTATTATTATTATTAATATTATTGTTTGCCTGTATTTGTACATGGAAGCTACGCCAAAGTGATCTTAAATGGTATTGCTGCTTGGAGAGCCCAGGGTGGGAGGGCAGAGCATGTGCAAACCCTTATATTAAATGCTGTATGCTGCTGAACAGAATATGACTCTCCACAGGAATTTGATGCTAAAGGTGAAAGCACGCTCACGACACGCTTGCACGACACTCTTAGCGTGCCGTAGATCACGGATATGCACATATTAAATTGAAAAAACAAAGACGGACACACTTGCCTTTGATTTGGTAAATTTAACATGCTAGACCTTTTGTTTTTTTGTAGCGTCCCATATGTCAGGGTAAGTGTGCGAATTATAGCACGCTAAGCGTGCAATTTGTGTAAGACACGCTGAACACGCTTGATTACTAAAGCTACTAAGATGATAAAAATGGCTTGGGTTTTCAGCGGATTTAATCAGCATCGATAACTGGTCGCAGTGAATCAAATATATCAATTCAGACTGTTTTGGAATTTGATAGTAACTGTAGCCATTTGAAAATCACCACTTAATGGTCGTCTGTAGCCTGGAATTAACGCGAGATCAGTGTAAACCAATTCTCCGGCTGTCGCCTGTTGACCGGAATCGCAAAGAGACCTGCTATCGCATGCGAGGCACTGAGGTTATGTCGCCTGAAAATTATAGTTATGCCACCGGAATCTTTATTAGCAGTAATGCACAGAGAAATGAAGGTGAATAAATTAGTTTAATATTATTTCTTTAAGCCGTGCTGAGACGAACGAAGGTAACTAAATCGGAGAAACAAAAACTGCCTAGAATCTTCTATTGGTTGAGGAAGTCTAAACATTTCTAGATGACCGTTCCATGCACGTACAATCAGTTTTCGAAGCTTATCTAATAAATTCTTTACGATTTTATGAAGTTTAATTTTTTCCATTTCACTGCCCAGGTTAAGCTATTGGGATCAATCTTAGCAGCTGGGCACAGAACCTTATATAAAAACAGTAACAGAATATAATATACAAGACCTTATATATTCCATTGCACTAAAATTACCCTATTTTAGTTGCTGTGTCACTAAATAGCTCAATTTAATTAAGATAGCTCATTACTAAAAGTCCTTCTTACGAACGCCTTCTTCAACACTTAAAAATTATGTAAACAGTTTTTGTTGTCTTTTGTGTATGACTTAGAGAAGGCTTTCCTAAGATAATTACGGAAGGCTTGTGTAAGAGTTCTTACAGAACGTGTAAGAGAGCTTGCACAAGCCTTTTGTAAGATACTTACAGAACGCGTAAGAAGGCTCACAGAAGGCTTGTGTAAGACTCTTTATACAAGGCTTGTGTAAGTATCTAACATAAGGCTTGTATAAAGAGTCCTTACACAAGCCTTGTGTAAGCAACCTTACACTAGCCTTGTATAAGTATCTTACACAAGTCTTGTGTGACGACTCTTACACAAGCCTTGTGTAAGAGACCCTACACAAGGCTTGTGTAAGATACTTACAAAAGGCTTGTGTAAGATACTTACAGAAGGCTTGTGTAAGATACTTACAGAACGCGTGAGAGTCCTTACAGAAGGCTTGTGGAAGATACTTACATAAGGCTTGTGTAAGAGTCCTTACACAAGCCTTGTGTAAGAGACCCTACACAAGGCTTGTGTAAGAGTACCTACACAAGGCTTGTGTAAGAGTCCCTACACAAGGCTTGTGTAAGATACTTACAGAAGGCTTGTGTAAGAGTCCTTACACAAGACTTGTGTAAGATACTTACAGAACGCGTAAGAGTGCTTACAGAAGGCTTGTGTAAGACACTTACAGAACGCTTAAGAGTGCTTACAGAAGGCTTGTGTAAGATACTTACAGAACGCGTAAGAGTCCTTACAGAAGGCTTGTGTAAGATACTTACAGAAGGCTTGTGTAAGAGTCCTTACACAAGGCTTGTGTAAGATACTTACAGAACGCGTAAGAGTCCTTACAGAAGGCTTGTGTAAGATACTTACAGAAGGCTTGTGTAAGAGTCCTTACACAAGGCTTGTGTAAGATACTTACAGAAGGCTTGTGTAAGATACTTAGAGAAGGCTTGTGTAAGATACTTACAGAAGGCTTGTGTAAGATACTTAAAGAACATAAGAAGGCTTACACAAGGCATGTGTAAGATGCTTACAGAGCGCTCGTGTAAGAGTCTTACAGAACGCCTAAGAAAGCTTACAGAAGGCTTGTGTAAGATAATTGCTTGTCGGCTTGTCTTACAGAAAACTTCTTTAAGATACTTACAGAAGGCTAAGAGTCATTACTGACGGCTTGTACAAGAAAGGCTTGTGAATCGCTTAGGGTCTTTTCTAAAGACTTGTGTAAGGGTCGCTATACTATGTGCAAACGCCTTTGGTATCCATCTTTAAAACCGTTTTTACGCCATTAGAATCATTGATATATTTTTGGCGATTGAAGTGATTAATGCCACTTGCAAAGTTTGTTGGCGGTGTCCCTCTCTTCGTTCTTTTTCTTTTTTTAGAACATCTCAAGATATTGCCGATGATTTAGTCGTTTTTAATCCTCCCAAGTTACCCACAACACAAATGATACTTTTTGCTGAGTTCCTATATGCGACTTTATTTTTAAAACTCAGTCTACAAACAACTAATAACAGTAAAAAAGAATTAATAATCGTTAAAGGATTTTTCCCAAGCTTGTTGCAGGGCTCTGTCTTTTTTTTTTTTACCGAGTTTCTATATAAATCTATAAAATGTTAAATATGACGTTAGAATCAACGTATTCACTGTAAGGTTCGGTTTTTTCCCCTTTAGTCCTATGACGTTAGAATCAACGTATTCACTGTAAGGTTCGGTTTTTGTTCTCTCTAGTCCTATGCTGCTATGTTCTGAGCAACGGGTATTTAAAAAAATTAGGTAGATAGCAATACAATTTTATAAAATCCCACTGATTTAGCCTGTTCCAGGCTGCGAGATAGTTTTACGTCTTGCTACAACTAAGGACGCTTTCCATTTGTCAGAACGGCCTGACTGTTCCCGTCTTAACGAAAATTTCACTTTTAATCAAAACTATCCAGCCTGCTCAGTCCAGTCCCAAAAAGTATGCATAGATTTCATTTGCTAACTGACTGGTCCGGCAATTGTCCGGCCGGCCAGTTCTGACAAATGGAAAGCGCCCTAAGTGATGAAGGTCTCTTTTTAGGTACGCCGCGCTGATTCCGAAAATACGAGCATACAATTTAAATCAAACAAACTGAGCTACTTGACTGTTTACTCGGTGAATGCGGAGTGAATTATATAGAGTGAATCCTCAATGCATAGAAATTATATTAACAAATTTTCGAATCTGCATATTTAAGCGGGATGTTAATACTGTGTCCAATAATAAATTTTAAAATAAACATGTAGGTTATCCAACTCTTAATTACGACCAAATTTTAACCTTTTTCAAAACACAATCATCTGTTTATATACACATTGTATTTTTTAAAAATGGAATTATTTTTGTGAAAAAGAAAAAAGGAATAAAAAGGAAAAACGTATTCAATTTCCACTTGTCCTCAGTGTCACCTGTTGAGATAACAACAAAACAAAACTGTAAACAAAATAAAACTGCTTGCGTCGTATAAAAATAAAAGAAATAGTAGAAAATGGAAGTCGTAAGTTTGTTTTATGCTTCGCGTTTCACCGCTGTTGCGGCTCTTCAGGCATAGTGTCTTTATTGACCTGTTTTCATTCCAAGAGCAATTTGCAGAATTTTAAATCAAACTTTTATTTGTCGTTGTTTGTTCAATGTGAAAATGAAAAAAAAGTGGTGTTAGACCCGCAGAACATTTATCAAATATGTTCAGTATTAAACTCCCATCATTTCTTTGTGCAGGTCTGTGATTTGTTGTTTGTGAACCGTCACTCTTTTTCTTTGGACATCACCCGTTTCTCCTTTGTAATCTAGTCCACATTCTGCAGACGTTATAACATTCATCACATTTTTAGAGGTGCAGCTTCGGATTTCAGCAAGCCGTGAAATGTATTAAGACGAAAGAAAATACACTTAAAGAAGCGTTACCGTTGTACTGTCATTGGCATCTTCGTCGTCATCATCATCTTTCTTGGGAATTTTAGGGTCCCTTGGCCCTTCCTGTTAACGTAAAAAAGGATTAAGTCTATAAGAGGATAGCCACACCGTCACTAAATTAGCTCACGACTTAAGAATGTACCTATGGGTATTTAACGCTCACAGTTATATTACCTGTTGTTTATTAAAATAGACGTTCCGCCTTTTCCTTACCTAAAAAATATAATGATATATATTTATATACACCCATAGTACACCGCGTTTTTTATATATCTGTCATGTTTTAGTTGTCCAGGACAAACTCTACACTTAAAGAAAAGTAAATATTGCGTGATCGATTTTAGCCTGTTCCAGGCTCTCAGATAGTGGAGAAGACGCGAAAGTAAAAGGCAAGAGAAAAGTTGCACTCCTCTCCCCAGTTCCTCCCGTTTTATTTCGTGTTCGCGCTTTCTCAATTCAGCGGACCCGACTATCTCGGAGCCTGGAACAGGTCAGATCGATTTATGGAGTCAACGTTATATGTGGTGTTAAAAAACAAATAATGCAGGCCTTTGTATCAGTGGACGTCACTTCAAGTCCATGTTGATGGGCATGGTCTTGCGCTCAAAAGAGAAGAAAAAAAAGACTCCTCCTCCTCATCATCTTCTCCTTTATCCTCCCCAATTTCGACGGCAGGCAACTTCCAGAAAAAGAAAAATAGATTTTGATATCTTGATAACTTATCACTTTTTTAAACTACAATGCTGATGGGGTAGAGCCCTATTACGTCCGTAAATCAGCCTTTGTCACCAGTTGTTTACGAATTGGCATGTGGAAGTTCAGAAGTTAACGTCGATACCCAAAGATATCGTTTGTCTCCGTAAGGTTAACTTTTGACACTATGTCAGTGACCAAGTATTTATTGCTTACCTTTTTTTGTGCATGTGCTCTGTCGGCCATTTCCTAGAGAAAAAAGATATCTGGTTCATTGTACATTAGTCGATTGTCTCGATTAAATTTTAAATGTGGTTTACTTGGAGTTGTGTACATGTATACAGTTGTGTGCATTATGTAGTATTTCTAGTCTTTGCAGCAAGCGTTACTGTCTGGTTTTCGTGAAAAGAAAAACCGACGAACGACGAAAATCGAGATTTTCCTTTTTCGGTCGCGTACAAAAAAAAATGGACCAAGAGCCCCCCATCCCCACTCTCTTTCCACGTTCTTTGCTCCAAAAACGCTTGCTACGAAGTACTGATAATCTTGTTACTGTTTTTTTTAACGTTAAATCAATGGACTTTTCTTATTTTTGGTTCGCAGTGTAGTCTCACAAATGTACGCTGTAGCTGATTAAAGGGAACTGTAAATCAAAGTCATACGTTCTCTATCGTCTATCGGCCTACTTTGGAGTATGATAAAAAGCATAATTTTCAATAACACAAATTGAAGAAGTATTCAAGGGCTTCAAGGAACTCAAGGCGCTCACTAGCAATTTACTTTTCAACAATTAGCACTGCAGTGGTACTCCAACTCACCGACGCTCTTGCCTCCCTGTCTTGGCGCTCTCTTAAATTTCTAGTTTCAACTATCAGGTCCCTGAAACGATTATAATAGACATGAATATATTTTGCTAGACCTAGTAAAGTGCTTTCCTTTCGATTGTCCCATCAAATTTTGAGCCGGATAAGAGACATTCTGGTTATGTTTAAAATTATGCCATTTGGATTCAAACTGCTGAACCGTATTTCGAGAGATACGTAGACGGTAAAAAATGGAATATTAATAAACTCGTCCATAATCTCGTCCTTAAATAGGAAAAGTTGGGTTGAAATTTACCATGAGAGAAACTACAAATGCAGTATCACATGTACCTTTGACAGCGTACGGCCTGGACAGCCACAATTGCCTCTCCTACTGCCCTCCTCACATTCACAGTCATCAAATCATCTCCTTCGGAGTAAAATTGGATTGGTTATATTAAAGGTAAGGCAGCGTGGTCGAGTAGTCAGCGCGTGGGGTGCGCAATGCGGCAGTCCCTGGTTCGAGTCCCACTCTGACCACATCTGGATTTGTTCTCGGTCGTCCCGAGTTCAAATCCTCTGCCACGCTTGTAAATATCCAACTGGCTGCCTCCTGCCAGTTGAGGGTTTTTAATCCTGTTATGTTGTATTACAATTTTTTTTTTTAAGTCTTTGAGTGTAGTGCCGCCCTATAAACTACAAATTGAATGTGCACTTTCCTTTTAAACAAGATTGTTAGCTGAGGGGGAAGCAAATTAAGTATGGTTGGACGCAAAATATTGCTGACATAACATTCGGTCATCAAGGGAGATTACCTCCATGTCTTTGCGTGCAAATCGGAGGAATTCGAACCAAATAGTGAGTTTTTTATTCTTTGTCCCTTTTCAATTTTGGCCCCAGTTGGTCAACGATAATCATCCCAATAACAATATTAACGAGAACATTAGTAACAACACCAAGAACAAAAATTTTCAATGACGAATCGTGGGCTTCCTTTTGGATCTTGCTCACAAATATGTCAAAGGTTAGATTCAGTCCGATTTAGTGTTTTCGTCTGTCCCTTACACCAAGTTGACACACTTACCAGAAATGATGTCCCCAACTACCATGTTGGCCGATGACATCGTGGGCTGGTACACTCTGACTTCCACATCTGCCCCGTTCTCGCTCTGCCGCGCATGATGTCTACATACTAAAAGTAAAAGTAGAAGCTAATGAATAAAGAATGGTACAACTGGTTGGCAGAGACCGGCGGCGGGGGATGATGTAGGAAAACACCCAGAAGAAGTATAATAGAAAATCATGTACAGCACAAGCTGAATCAACCCGTTAAAGGTTTGTTTTTCTCTCTTTCTATTCGCTCTAGCAACAGTAAAATGGAAAATGTTGTTTTTTAATATGCTCATTCACCATGGGTAAAATGTATTAAAAAAACAAGTCTAGTGCCTTGTTACAAAATAGCTGTTATTTGCAGGCCCAAAGTGATATTGAAAATCAGGAATCGTTGAAGAAGCGTAGATACATGTATCTCACAATACCTTCATTGTCAAATTGTGAGCCTTTGAGTGCCACATGTATGTGGCACTGGCTTAAAACGTCACTGCATTCTGACATCAGTTCTCTGTCAATAAAAGATGTATAAAGAAGTTAATATTAGTTCTTGTCGAATGTACCAAGTCACGCAGTTACGTTCACAAGTTCAAATAACATAACTCATCAGCCTCAAATAGCTAGGCAATCAAATTAATCTTGGCATATAAACAAAGTGAGCAGGGAAAACAAAGACTATATAGTAGTGGACAGGGAAGTCACAATCATCGACTGGGTTTTCTTGTTTCACTTTTGAACCATAACAATTCTCAAAGTGAATTACCGAAAACAATTTTAAAATATATTATCTCTTGTCATTAACGTCTACTAGGTGTTCCATTCAGGTACATTGTATGGGCCTTCTCACATTGCATGCAATTCCAGCAACTGCTTTTTTTGCACTTACTAGGAGCAAAAAACAACAGGAAGTTCTGTTTTCATAGTATATGATTATATATGTGAGAAGAAGAAAAATAACCTGGAATTTGCCCCCTTTTCTTCTTTTGCAGCTTATTTAGAAGTTATTTGAAGCCCCTTAAAGTCTATTTCATTAGTTTACACACATTGGATCTTAAGAGCGGTTTTCTGTAAGGACCGACTAAGGGTATGCAAGATAGAAAAATCCGATTTTCCCAAACTTTGCCAGAAAGAAGGCCTTGGTGAACTGTTTCTAAAAATATAACTTTCGGGTCGTTTGGGGTTTTACTTATTTTTTAGTGAATTTTTTAAATTTTGGCCGTTAACGCCGGCTTTAATCACGCCGAAATATGCACTTTTGCAGAAGCTCCCATTAATACCTTGAAACCTTTCTTAAAAAGATTAACCAAGCAAATCAAACTATCTTCTTTCCTCAGATTATCGGTGTCGTAAAATGCAAATAAAATGTAAACGTGAAAATTTGACAGATTTTCTAATTTTACACCTTTCAATGGTGATTACAACAACAGTATTTTGGCTAAATTCAAGGCCTAAAAAAGCACTCTGGTACATCGCTTTGACCAACAAAACTATACTAGGAGGAAACATTATCATTTCAACTAAACATCCATGAAAAAAAAAATTGGGGTAAACGAAACGGCGAGTTCTGAGAGCGATTTCAAAACAGGTCATTTTATCAATTATGAGTGACCTTTGACCTTTCATATTCATAGAAATAAACTGACTTTTGTTTGCGTGATGACGTTTTTTTGGCTCTACCAGTTTGTTTTTACTTAGAAATACTTGCCTTTTAAATTTTGAGCCATGCAATTAATTTGGAATAGTAAAATTGGAAATAAGAGACAGTTTGCTCAGACATGTCAGTTTTGTCCACCGCCGACTCTGTAGTACCAGTCTATTGATACAACACAAATGCGGCAACAAATGCGAGGTAAATCAATGTGCGAGGTACTTGACTAATATGTATTATCTCAGCGATGCTTTCTTGGATAGAAAGAACCGCATTCATGGAAGTTCCTGACAAAAATCGCCGAGCGCATATATCACCTGAACGTGGAACATGACCAAGTATTGAATGCCACAGGACACCCAGGATTGGATATGGTCGCGGAGAGGTCGGTACATCTTTGGTAGTTCAATTTTTTTTTGTTTTGGACTGATAAAAAAATCTTTTTTCCTGGATTATCGAGTTGTTCTCCGTAAATTGAAGAGCCCGCGTTCCGAAGAGGCAGCACTGGCTTACTTCTTTGTCTTTAATTGCACCTGTTAATTTGTACAGTGCAGTTTATTTATTGACTTCATTCAATCATTGTGTACTTGCAAATGGCTTCGTGTGAGTATTGGCAGATTGCAGGTGGAACATGTGGTTCTAGTGTGGACAATCCAGAAAATGTGAAGAGCGTGATCCTCGCCAAGTGTACAAAACTGATACAAGGGCATCTACGTTCTTGCAACATTCGAGACGCTAGTTTAGACTCTGAACCAAAGCTGTTGTTGGCACGTGCAGGTACGTAATGTCGATGTCTGTATTAAACAGGCCATCTTTAAAAAAAAACAAGAAAGAATAGACGCATAATTTAAAGAAAGGAAAATAAACGCCTCCCAATCTTTTTACATCAAGAAGAATCGGTGTGAGACTAAAACTAAATGTAATTTAGCGGCTTCGTGATCTGATTCAGACTGTTTTTATATTTTGAAAGGTGTCCGCAAATTTATCGAAGCATCACTAGTTTTCCTACGTCTGCAGCCTGTAGATTTTAATTATTGTCCATAATTTACACACTAAATAAAACTGGACGATGTTCAAGGTTTAGTCACAAGGGTAACGCGGAAAATGACTTGAAAGGAAGGCTTAATGAAGGGTGACGCTCAGAACCTGCTTTAATTGTTTAATGTCGTGTACTTCTCATTTTACTGCATTTCATATTCAATTTTTACCCAGTTAATTAAGGGCCATGATTGCAACTTACAACGCTAAAATATTTTTAGACATATTCCTAAAACACATAGCGTGTTATTCAAGAATGAATTTTACTGTCAAAGATATGAGTGATAATTCACCCGTGCAGTAGCCGACTTAATCAAATTAAGATCAATATCAGAACATCTGAGCTGAGCCAAAACGCAAAAGTAAAGCCTCCATGTTTCTCAGTAAACACGCAAAATTTAAACTTTTTCCTGATCATTAAAACTTCAGTGCGTTGAGAAGTTTATTTTAAAAAATTATTAATATTGCCTACATTTATAAACCATATCAGATTTATCGCGAGCATTACAGCCTTGTTTGTTTCACAGGAACTTTACAGAAGTGAGGAACAAAAACTGCTTTTGGGATGACTGGACGTCCAAAGAAAAATTAAAAATAAAGCTTTTGATTTTATCTTTTGGTGCATAAATTAACGATAAACGTGGAGGAAGCGAATAAAATGTGAACGACGCTGTGATATATAAGCTAAAAATTGTTAAGTAAAAGGCACCTTACAACCTTTTTTATCTTTGAAGGGATTTTTGACTTAAACGAAAGTCACCTTGAACTAACAATATGCCCAAGACATCGAGACAAATTTGGCATTAGATGGCGTTCAAATAAGAGGATATGCACTGCTCCCAGTGAATGGTCATCGCATGGAACTTTAGTGTCAGGGGAGAGAGGAATATCGTCTCTACATTCCAAGCTACTCTACCAGCAAACCCAAGTGTTGCTTCCTGTAGGCTCCCGTGAGTGTTAAACCTGTAGTGATATTTTACAACATTGCCGGGTTTAGAGCGTAAAAGAATGGCAGTTTCAATTTCCTCCACTTTTTGTATTTTAAATTCATAATCGGATATACCCCCGCCTCCTAAAATCTTTAAATCAAGAAACGTGTTACCGAACAGTTTCAACACATAGCTGCAATATTTCAAAAACGAAGAGCATCATGAGCAAAAACAGAAGCTATAAGAGTCTGGCACAGATTTTCTGAGTAATGTTCTGCAATCCACTATTTTTTTCAGAAATCTGCAAGCAATGCAGGAGAAAGTTGGAAGAAGCATCGCAGTTATTAGTATTTCCCAGCTCAGAATCGACCGCAGAAGATTTAGGATCTAACGTAGACAAACCGGAAGAGCGGATATTATACACTTAATGTCAGATCCCAAGGGAAACAGTTAGTTTTGTTTTCCCGAGAGTCCTGATGTTTCCCGAGACGAAGTCGAGGGAAACATCAGGACTCGAGGGAAAACAAAACTAACTGGTTTCCCGAGGGATCTGACATTAAGTGTTTTGTTATATTTCTAGACTTTCACTTCAACAGCAACAAAAGAATAACCGGAGCGAACGAAAACGAACCAAAACACTCGACTCGGTACTTATGACAACACAAATTTAATTCTCAAAACCACTGAACGAATGATTTACAAACAAAAGTACTTTCCTAATATCATCTGCATCTTTTTCCTCCACTAGCTGCTGTTTTTCTTCTGGGAACTTCTGGGATAACTTTAAAAATCGTTGCCTTTTAGCTTGAGGCTTCGTGATTGTGTTGTTGTGTTCATTCACGAAAAAGAAAACTGGCAGAACCTGGCCGTGTTTTTCCCGCCTTCGGTCACGCCACTTTCCACCATGCTTTGATCACGTGCTGCAATGTATCCCGAGCGGGATACATTGTTTAATGTATCACGATCGGGATACATTTGATTTTAGTCAAGGCCACGTGACCAAGAATCAACCAATGGCAGTCCCTGTTTAGTTGAGTGAAATTCTAGGAATATAACAACACAAAATATCGCACAGGTAGATAGAGCTATATGGTATAGCTATGGCATGAACATAACAGATTAGAACCTTGTCCGAGTGGCTTTTAATAGTTTAGTTTAATAGGTTAGTTGAGTGAAATTCTAGGAATATAACAACACAAAATATCGCACAGGTAGATAGAGCTATATGGTATAGCTATGGCATGAACATAACAGATTAGAACCTTGTCCGAGTGGCTTTTAATAGTTTAGTGAGGTTCAGCAAAAGGCGAGTTTTCCTCCCCTTCACTTTTGATGACCCCAGCCTCCTTGCATACTACTCCTTTATATCATGTATTGATGCGAGAACACTTACATATCATTGCAGTGGTGATATGTACGCGGTTAAAAAAGTCATTCGCTCTACAGCGCTAACTAGTTCATTTTGCTTTCTAACGCGTACAGAGAGAAGATGTGGAGAGTAAAGAAGTTGAAGACAACGTTAGCCAGTCAATGCACCACCTGACCATAAGAGACGAATACTCTCATCCACAGCTTGACGAATCAGGACACTACTCCGAGATCGACACTAGCCTGTATCAAACGGACTCTCAAGCGAGCAGCAGCAGCGAGAGTTCTAACGGCGATGATCCACAAATTAGTAGTCAAGCAACAAGACGTTCTCTGTTGAACGATTTCTTACGTTCATGTAATGCTCACACAGTCGGCTCATACAAAAAGCGATGGGAGGCAGCCAGCGAACTTACTAGAGCAAGCCATGTGTCAAAGGCGAAGTCAGTTATTGTTTCTGGCCTTAACGTTATTGCTCCAGGAGACGCAGGCTACCTCTGGGAGGCCGTGAAAAAATCTGGCTCAGTCGAGAAGGTACTTGGCATCGGTGAACGACAAGAAGACCGAAAATATCTAAAGGCACTGGCGGAGTCTTACCAAAACGCATCTACCTGGGAAACAAGGCGTCAGATATTATCAATCATGGCAGACCTGATAACGTTTAAGCGCATCCTAAACTACATTCCAGGGATCACCGAATACCGGTTCAAAATGGCGAGACAGCACTCTCTTCAATATGGGCGGGGTGCCTTGCCAGCCCGAGCAAAAAGTCCTAGGATGAGAGTAGAAAATAAACAGTTGGATCACTTTTTGACTTACATAACTAGCCCGCACGTGATCCAGGATCTTCCTTTTGGGCAGCGATATCTCCGCCTATCTTCTGGAAAGATATTAGAAACCCCAAATGTCATTAGGGCGATGATCCCTAACAGGCTAGTAAAGCAGTAGCAGGCTTATTGCGAGGAGACGAATTTCACTCCATTCAGCCCAACAACAATGTTAAGAGTCCTGTCTGGCTGCGGGGCGACCGTAAGGAAGTCCTTGCAAGGGCTCGACTACATTGCTTCGGATGGCGCGAAAGGGTTTGAAGCTTTGTGTGGAGTAGTGGACCAACTTAAAGAGAGAGGTCTGGACAGAGAGACTGCCAAAAAATGGGAAGTGTCTCTGAGGGAAGGCAAGCAGTATCTGAAGGCTGATTATAAGGTATCAGATACGGTTTAAAACATGGTTAACTGAAAGTAAACCGGAATATATAACGAACTGCCACGAGACTGGCAAAATGGCAAAATCTGTTAACTTTGTCGTGAGAGCTTAATTAAATCAGGTGGGTTCTTTTCCAAACTAATTATACTATTGTTGGGCAAGAGAACACCGTTATCTATACTGGCGTCCGTCTTCGCCTTGCTAGGTGTGTACTTTATTCTGCCAAAGGTTCATATTTTCTAATTGCTTTAACCAAGCTTGGCAAAAATATTGCGCGTACAATAGATGAAAGCTCAGAAACTTCAAACGGTCACTAAATTTACTACTTTGTCTTTTTTGAAGGTTCATGTATCCGAGTCCTCCCCGGTTGCAGACCATTGCAGCGGATACGCTCTCAGCGATAGTAAGGACGATGAACTAAGATCCCAATGCTCTCATAATCATGACATTCAGTGTTCACAGTGTGAAAGTCTCAGTAATGTTCTTTTTTCAATTAAAACATTCTTGACTGAGTCAACGTTTGTACCTGAAGAACTAGAAGACGTCTTGTACACGCATAGTCATGCAGTCCAGGCAATCCACTCCTGGAAAGCACATCAACTCAGGTGTGTCAGGCAAGATACAGCAGGGACGGCGTGCTTGAGCGCTTTAAATGAGACCTCTGTACTCATAACACAAGATTGGGCTATGAAGTTTTTACCGCTCAAATATAGAGAAAACCAATCAGATTGGTACGGGAAACGAGGAATATCGTGGCACATAAGTGTCATCGCAAGAAAAATGAGAGGGCTTTTAGAAAATCAGTCCTTCGTCCACGTAGTTGAGAATACATCACAAGACAGCTCAGTTGTAGTGCGAATTATTGAGCACACCTTAAGGTCGCTGAAAGAGGAGAATCCTAGAATCAACAGAGCATTTCTACGGCAAGATAACGCGGGATGTTATCACAGTTCTGCTGTAATAGCATCATGCACCCTAATGAAGGCAAACACTGGGATAGACGTTTGCCGAGTAGATTTCAGTGACCCTCAAGGAGGCAAGGGGGCTTGTGACCGAAAAGCCGCCACTATCAAGGCCCATGTCCGCAGGTATGTAAATGAGGGCCACGACGTGCAAAATGCTGAACAGCTTCAAACAGCTATCCTGTCTAATGGAGGTGTCACCGGGGTTCGCGTTACTGTTGTTAATGCTGCCGTTTCTGCCTGTGAACTGCCTCAAGTCAAACTTGATGGTATCAGCACGTTCAACAACTTTGAGTACTGCAAAGACAAGTTGACAGTTTGGAGAGCTTTCAACGTCGGAAATGGAAGGGAGATCAGCCAAACGAAAGTTCAAGGTAAAAAAAAAACGGGCATAGTGATATATAAATGTACTGTATTGGAGTGTTGCAAATACTCACTGACTTAGTCAGCTAATAATTACGGATAACGGGCAATATTAACAGAGTATAAGAGAGTCTATACTAATGGCTACTATAGACAACTCAGTCAGTTGTGTACATGATAAATTAACAAACCTTTAAAAGACGCGAAAAACGTTTCATCTGAAATTAAAAAAGACTTCCATTTCAATGTTCGCTTTTTTAGTTGCTGATGTCTTACAAAGCTGCAAATTTACTTGCCGATTTTCCCCTGGTGACTTTGTAAAAGCATCCAAGGAAGCCTCAAAGAAGCCAAGACCCAATGAAACGACGACAGTAGAAGAAACGAAAGACGCTTCTGTATTGTTCTCCTGCCCAAATGAAGGTTGCATCAAGGTATACGAGAGATACTCGAGTCTCGAAAGGCATATGTCGTTTGGCAAATGCGAGTTGATTCCGGAGAAAGAGACTTTGCTGGACAGGGCTAAATTAACGTACCACGCTATCCTTCAGGACGATATTGGCATTGCAAAAGTATTTGAAGGAAGGCAAACGGAGAAGAAGCACGGTGTCAGTTTACCTGAGGGTTGGGCGTTGAAAACTGCAAAGAAGTCGTCACGGTTTAACGGATCACAAAGAAAGTACCTGGAGGAAAAATTTGAGCTTGGACAGCAAACAGGCCACAAACAAAACCCTGAGAAAGTGGCGAGAGATATGCGTTTTGCAAAAAAAGCAGATGGTTCGAGGCTGTTCTCGAGTGATGAGTTTCTTACCTCGCAGCAGATACAGTCTTTCTTTTCAAGATTATCGTGCAAGTTGCGTCACGCTGTAGAGGTTAGCGACTCAGATTTACAAGCTTCTCAGGATGAACAAGAGTTTTGCGACACCCGCCAGGCTGTGTTAGAGGAAGTACAGCTAGAACATCCCATCGCTTATGACAACCTAAACCTTTGCGAATTGACCAAGAAAGGTAGCATGAAAACACTCAGCATTGCAATGCTGAAGAACATATGCGAGTATTTTGATATCTGCACGGAAGAATTTAACCCAAGGCGCAAGGCAGAGTACCTTGCCGCGTTAGGGGATCTTGTAAAAAGGTGCGGCTGTAACGCCTAAGAGTCAAATTAGTGTTAACAGTTTGGATAACAGTTGTCAGGAGGGGCCGCATCTCGTTTTGCGAGATGGTTGGAAAAAAATTGTCCCACCTAGTTTATTTTAGCTCGTCAGATTCATCACGTATAAAAAAGCTTCAGTTCCAGTTTTTTTTATTTACACGCTGACCTCTTTCTAAACTTTTACCTACTGGTGATCTCATACTTTTGCGCATTCCTAATTTTGCGCAATCCCCCGTCTCCCCATCGCTCCGCGGACCGTGTCGTCGGATTTTAAAATCTATTGTTTTGTTCGAAAATAATTGTATTATTACAATTACTACTTCTAAGCAAAGCGATAACTTGACTCGTATTATAATCACTTAAACTGACGATGTTTAATTATTATACGTAGAATTAACGGGAAGCGTTATGATCGTACAAGACTAAGAGTAGATGTGAGAGAAACATTGTTAATTTAACGAGCGCTTCCAAAATCTGCGCTCATCTACCCGATGCTAGATTTTCCCTTAATTCTTACAGGATTTTGCTGACAACGAAAGAAAGGAATCGATCCATACAAGTTTTGTTTAATTTGTCTTTGTGGGTACGTAATCCGGGGGTTACTCGACCAATACTAGGGTATATGTGAGCCGCTGAGGATTTGAAACCCTGACCCTGTTTAGGAGAAAAAAATTGCAAAATACATACTCTGTTTATGATATACCCTGTTTAGAACAGAGAGTTTAAAAACCATACCCGGTCCAGCGGCACATATAAGGGAGTACCCCCGGGGTCCGTTATTCCTGCGCGTCGTTTTTACCTTGAGTCCCAGAGACTTTACCCAGCACTATTCAGGGTAAGTACGATTATTTAGGAATTATCCTAACACTTAAGTATCTATTATAGAAATATCCCATGCCTTTTGCCAGTATAGTACAAAACACCCAATGTTGCTAAAAATATAATGAGACTTGCGGTTCCGGAATACACTTGACTGGGTGTACTGTGGCGTTTCATGGTCAATTGTTTTTATGCAAATTGTGTTAGCGCGCGAGTGCGATGATCTCTCCGTACTTTTCTAATGAGTGCTGTGGTTTCGATCCAGGAAAAGATCTGTAAGGTGGGAAGTATTTTATAAGCAATTGGTGAATTGACTAACCTTGTAGCTGATCACCAATTTGTGTTGTAAGTACAAAGACAATCAATTTCTAATTCACCGGTAAACAAACCGCAAACGCCTGAGCAAACTCATATTTTGACTTTCCAAATTCTCTTTTTTTAGGGAATACAGTACCACAAATTGAAAAGACTAGTATCCTTAACTGGTAATATGCTAGAAATGAGGAAACAGGCTTCATCATGCAAAGGAAAATCGGAGTTAAAGAGCTCTGGGTTTCTATTTCCACTGATTTGGAACCGTTCCAAGTTCAAAAGGTCACTCAAAAATGGCCCAGGTAACCCATTTTGAAAACGCTCTCAGAACTCGCCGTTTCATTTACCCCAATTTTTTTTTTCATCGATGTTTAGTTGAAATGATAATGTTTCCTCCTAGTATAGTTTTGTTGGTCAAAGCGATGTACCAGAGTGCTTTTTTAGGCCTTGAATTTAGCCAAAATACTGTTGTTGTAATCACCATTGAAAGGTGTAAAATTAGAAAATCTGTCAAATTTTCACGTTTACATTTTATTTGCATTTGACGACACCGATAATCTGAGAAAAGACGATAGTTTGATTTGCTTGGTTAATCTTTTTATGAAAGGTTTCAAGGTATTAATGGGAGCTTCTGCAAAAGTGCATATTTCGGCGTGATTAAAGCCGGCGTTAACGGTCAAAATTTAAAAAATTCACTAAAAAATAAGTAAAACCCCAAGCGACCCGAAAGTTATATTTTCAGAAACAGTTCATCAAGGCCTTCTTTCTGGCAAAGTTTGGGAAAATCGGATTTTTCTATCTTGCATACCCTTAGTCGGTCCTTACAGAAAACCGCTCTTAATGTTCTGTGAAGAAGCCAAAACTTATACACAAAGCTGGTACCCTTCTCTCTCCTTTACACAATACAATAAATATATAACATTTACAACAACCCATTCTATGCCTACCTTAAAATTTCCGCTGCCTCTTTGGTTGGCCTGTATCTTAGGATACAGACCGGTGTGGAGTCGTAATGACTCTGTAATCGAACCTATGAAATACAGTGTATGAAATGATGACTTTTTTACAAAAAGGTGATTCAGATTACCACGTCCATTAAACAACAAATCCTTGTGTATGCACTAACTAACACATACCTGTGAAGGTGCCAAACATAAAGGTAAAAGTCTTTGTGTCACTCCATTCAAATGGAGAAGCTCCTCCATTAACCTCAAGTCAAATGAGGAACCATATGAGCATGCATCTGTGTATAATTTCAAATAGCACAAGCTTACATGATTGGGTAATAATTATAATTGGAAAAGTAGTGTTACTATTAATACAAAGTTATTTTTAACATGATCAGTTGTATAGCATGGCTGTGAGTGCAATCAATTGACTTAGGAGCACATGGGAGTTTATGTAGAGAATTCTTCACGTATATTGTAGTGATGTAAGGTGCAACTGCCACTGAACCAATAATATGGACAATAATAATTTAATAATCCTTGTGTATGTTTTTGATAATAATATGCATATCATCAAAAATGTATATGATTGTGCAAGACTGTATGCGTTCGTTTTATTATATACCGGCTGATTTATAAATAGAAGCTGCACGGAATTGTGCATGTATTAATGATATGGTATTTCATTTTGCTTTAACAAAATGAAAAATTTAATGACTCAGAAAATATCTGTAATTAAATTATCCCTAACGGCAAGGTCAGTCAGTAATAATAATGGCGAGTCGAAGGTGCATGGGTAAAGCGCACAGTTCATTTCTCAGGAACGGTGATCCAGGCTAAAATAACTACACAAAATGGGCTGGGTTGTGAGAGAACCATTGCGGAAAACCAATAATCGGTTTGAAGGTCAAAGGTTTAAACCGAATTAGCAAAAAGTAATAATACTATACAGTTGAAGTGAAACGTACGTACCAAGTTCTGCTCCGTAGAGACTATTTGCCTCCTCATTTATCTCTCCAACTTATGAATAAACAAAAAACCACTTAGTACTTATTGCAGTAACACATATTTTCTAAAGACTTTTTTTAATATTATAAATCTTTATAACTTGAGCAATAAGACTATTATTGAGGTAAGAAAACACAATTTTATGCCTTTCTGTACATGTATGTCATGAAGGGCTTAAGGAAGAAGGGAGGTACAATCAAAGGCTCAGGACTTTGAGATCATTATTGAATTGGATTTATAATAGTTTAAGTGTGGAAAAACTATTCAATTGCCATCAAGGGGGTCTTCATGTGATTGAGCCATTTCAATTACCTCTACTTAATGACATAATGAGCCGAAAATTATAACAGTTGGCCAAAAGAAGCCTCCACAGTGCTTAACCCAAAGTATCAAATGTACAAAATGTATCAAAGGCTTAATTTACCTTGTACAGCATCTCTCTCCCAAGATGCTTGCTCACTGCAGGGATAGCCTAGTATGGCTGTCTTTACAATGCCATCTGAGCAATACCAAACAGATTTAAGTCAAATTCCTTTCAGGGAATGTTTTACGTGTATTGAGCTATGTACAAACAAACATTCCAAAAGTTTCTTACTTTATAATAAAGATTGGTATTTTGATATATTCCAAAAGGATCATAATTATTCAACGTCGTCAACCTCAAAGAGTCCTTTCAATAAATGCATAGAAATCACAAGTGGAAAAAAAACTTGCTTTGTTTCCTTTTTGGTTAATAAACTGCAAGCGGCTTTTGGCTAAATGGTCTCTTGAATAATAGGGCAGTGTAAAATGCAGACTGTGGACTGTTTGCTGACAATTGTTTTTAAGGTTAGGAAAAAATGGGAGTATTGTTGTCAGTACTCATTTGCATGGGCAAACAATAGTCTTTTACACTGAGCGCTTGAATGACTCAGCTGATAGTGGCAATATTTTCCCCGCTAAAGAACGAAATTGACAAGAAAAAGGCAAGTTTTGTTTTGTCCTAAAAATATTAGACAGTTCCCACAGTAGTATACGTATATACATGTTTTTTTAATAGTACAATCAAATCACTGAAACTGGGCAAATTAAATCATCATTATAATCGAAATTAGCATAATTTGACTAACTACCTCATGTGAGACTACCTACCATATACAGTACATGTGATCCAATCAGCCATTGTGTTGGGATCTTTATATCAACAGAAAACAGACAAATTTAATGAATGTACAGTGGTTATACTCATGCAGTTCAAAAGTATTAGTTATATTTAAAATAATCAATGCAAACTGTTTTCAACTACAATATAAAGTTAATAAAGTTTCAGTGATCAGTACTTGGTAACTGTCAGACAATGAGCTTAGATCAAGTTTAAAAACACCCTCAGACTGTATCAAGTATTCAAAAGATTGATTTAACTGTATTGAAATAAGGAACATTCCATAGGCTTATTGAACTTCAATAACTTATACCCTTAAGTTATTGTCAAAAATTCTGTCAGAATCTATTTATTTAAGATAGTTGGGTTTATTTATGGCTGGGTTTGTTTGTACATACGTTACTGAAATTATTCTTCAAAAGTCAAATGGTCGGCCCCTTAGACTTTTGAAAGGAAGTGGGTATTGTCTTTGTATTCACATTTTGTTTGTACGAAATTTCTATTACGAATGACTTAATTTTTGTTGAAGGCAAGAATATTAACTGCCGGGTCTAAAGTACAGGTCACATTCCACAAGTCAAAATTAGAATTCTCTGTTCCATCGACAAATTAACAAACCACACAGATTGCCCTCAATGAAAACGGTAAAAAAAAACCGGGGCTAGACATTTTTATTTCATTTTATTTTATTATTTTTTTATCACGGTGACCTGTATTCTGTCCTGTGGAAAAGTGACCAGAATTTTAGACCTATCTCGACTTTCACTGAGATGACCTCTTCCTTTTCGGATTTTCCCTTAACATTACGGAGCTTTTGATTCTGAGACGAGATTAACTACAAGGAGGAGGTGTGTTCGTCGTTATTTTCTTCAAAACAAAATACAATAATCACTAGGTTCGGTTTTTGTGATATCCTAAATAATCAAGTTCTCGGTAAGTGTTATTAGCCCCGGCCTTCGGTTCGGCTGATAAACTTTTACCGCTACTTTGAATATTCCAGACATCACAAAAACCTCATCCGATAATTGATAAAAGATGAATGCGTAAGTTTTTAATGGTTTAAATTGTAAAAATTTGTAGCAAAGACATAAAAAGAAGGGTCACCTTGGCAGCCAAAAAATTATCGATAGAAAATACTCAGAATGATAGTAGAAAATCATAGCATGGGCTGATTAAAGGTGCTCTTTGTCTATATCATTGATTTAATTTGTATGCTCAAATTTGTAGTTAATTGCTGATATTATATGTTACTCACAGACAATTGGAATACGAATTGCTGAGTCTTGGATTAGATTTCTGTTGAAATTGAACTTATCGACGTGCCAACATTATTTTTATGTAGAAGATGAAACTTTGAATAAACGAGAAATCAGTCAGTTACGAGTGTGGGAACGGAAAAATTTATTACCGTTGACGTGATTTTTTAAATACCGACGCTTTATAGTTATAGACAAAAATTAAACTCAATAAGAAAGGCAAAGCCGTGCATGTAGCTTGGGCAAAATCCTTCACCGATTATTGACAATTTTTTTACTGCCATTTGTTGTTTGTAGAAGTTTTAAAAATAAAGTCTCATAGATGAACTCAGATAAACGTATCATTAATGATGTGGGTAGCATGGGAGGATTAAAAACGACAAAATCATCATTATCTTGGGAGGTTCTCAAAAAAGTCAAGGAAGGAAAGGAAGACTCTTTCAGACGGCGCGAACAATCATCGTTGACAAATGATCGCCAACGGCTCCCTGCTCTGCAAGTGGCATTTATCATTACAAAACGTAAAATGAGTCTTATACAAGTCTTCGGTAAAAATCTCAAATAAGCCTTCTGTAGCAAGCCTTGTGTAAAGACTTGTACACAAGACTTCTGTAAGCCTTCTTCGGCGTTTTGTAAGACTCTTACACAAGCCCTCTGTAAATAAGTATCTTACACAAGCCTTGTGTAAGCTTTCTTACGCGTTCGGTAAGTGTCTTACACAAGGCTTGTGTAAGCCTTCTTCGCGTTCTGTAAGTATCTTACACAAGCCTTGTGTAAGCCTTCTTCGCGTTCGGTAAGTGTCTTACACAAGGCTTGTGTAAGCCTTCTTCGCGTTCTGTAAGTATCTTACACAAGCCTTGTGTAAGGACTCTTACACAAGCCTTCTGTAAGTATCTTACACAAGCCTTGTGTAAGCTTTCTTACGCGTTCGGTAAGTGTCTTACACAAGGCTTGTGTAAGCCTTCTACGCGTTCTGTAAGTATCTTACACAAGGCTTGTGTAAGCCTTCTTCGCGTTCTGTAAGTATCTTACACAAGCCTTGTGTAAGCTTCTTCGCGTTCTTAAGTATCTTACACAAGCCTTGTGTAAGCCTTCTTCGCGTTCTGTAAGTATCTTACACAAGGCTTGTGTAAGCCTTCTTCGCGTTCTGTAAGTATCTTACACAAGCCTTGTGTAAGCCTTCTTCGCGTTCTGTAAGTATCTTACACAAGGCTTGTGTAAGCCTTCTTATGCGTTCTGTAAGTATCTTACACAAGCCTTGTGTAAGGACTCTTACACAAGCCTTCTATAAGTATTTTACACAAGCCTTGTGTAAGGACTCTTACACAAGCCTTCTGTAAGTATCTTACACAAGCCTTGTGTAAGCAACCTTACACAAGCCTTCTGTAAGGACTCTTACACAAGCCTTCTGTAAGTATCTTACACAAGCCTTCTGTAAGGACTCTTACACAAGCCTTCTGTAAGGACTCTTACACTTGTGTAAGAACCTTTTATACAAGGCTTGTGTAAGTGTTTTACACAAGCCTTGTGTAAGCACCTTTAAGTCTTCTCTAAGGACTTTATACAAGCCTTGTGATAAATACTTACACAAGCCTTGTATAAAGAGTCCTTACACAAGCCTTTTGTAAGCTTTCTTACGTGTTCGGTAATTATCTTAGGAAAGCCTACTGTAATTCATAGACAAAAGACTACAAAAACTTTTTACATAATTTTTAAGTGTTAAAGAAGGCGTTAGTAAGAAGGACTTTTAGTAATGAGCTATTTTAATTAAATTGCGTTAATTAGTGACACAGCAACTAAAATAGGGTAATTTTAGTGCAGTGGAATATGTAAGGTCTTGTATGTTATATTCTGTTACTGTTTTTATATAAGGTTCTGTGCCCAGCTGCTAAGATTGATCCAGCTATTTTTCGTAGAGAAAGGAATCCTAAAATTTTCGGAACCGAAAATACGATAAAATTCTCACTTTCCTAAAACTTTCAGTTGGAAGCTAAATTTTTCGGGAAAATAATGCTGAAGCCCTTGTAATTTCGAAAAGACTGAAGTTGTCTTGGCTTGCCTGGGCCTATTATTTTCAGAGAGAGAATTGGCCAACGGCAACAAGGCAGGAACTTTTGGCTTCGAAAAGCTATAATGAAGAAAAGATGCGATTTCTGTCATCAAACTTGCGCCATAGGTTTGATTTGATTTTGTAGACTATTTCTATAGAAATTAGATTCTGTGTAAAAATTTGGTCGTGAATATAAAAGCGACTGTTTTTTTTATGTCTTATCTTAAATTCCGCTTTGTTTTAATTTAGTTCTCAAGGCACTACCAAGTTTCAGGAGGGTAACAAATCCACTCGTGCATCAACGTAAAATAGGCATTTAAAAGACGCAGTAAACTAGCGCGACATAATTTAAAATTATTTTCGCGCCACTTAAACAATAGTCTCCTAAACAGCCGTTTTCAGTGGAAGGAGCGTTGTGTGACGAAACTGAAACGGCTGTGTCGCAGACTACTTTAAGACACTTAAAAATAATTGTAGGCCGTAATACTTCTGATGACGCTAAATCGGTCGCCGTAACTTCATAGCGCGAATGTTTGTTTAGATCGTTCTAAAACAGACGGCAACCACAAGAAAGACAACAGGATGATTACAGAATTTGGACAACAAGACTGAAGCATACGCGATGTAATATTTCAAGAAGAACAAATTTACATACGTTATTTTAATACCGGTTTCGCCTTTTGTGTTATTGCCGGCCGGATCAATTAAGCAACATTGAAACCGTTTTGGAGCAAGTGACGCAAGTCCGAAAGATCACTGTTTCTGAGAAAATTGCAAATGTGTTTTAAATTAAGGGAGAACTTTGATTTTGCAATGTTAATTAAGTTCTACCCATAAATCCAGTAGGTCCCTCCGTTCACTGTTTATACTTTTCAAGCGACAAAATTTTTCTTTCTCGATAGTTACCAAAAAAGGGTGCCGTTCATAATCATGTACGGTTCCTTTCTGTAGAAGAAATTCATTTAGCTTATAGATAACACGCCTTGCGTGCTTTTGCGCACACTTAAGCGTGTTGTGCTTTTTCGCACGGAGATTTTATTTGAAAACTTTAACACGCCCTTTTGTTCGACTTGCTCACGCTTAATTGTCTCAAGCGTGTCCTCTGAAACAAAAGAAATTGCTAATGAGGCAAGATTGCAAGCGTGCTAAAGCGTGCTAAAATAAATTCTTTTGTTTTAAAGTGAAAGCGTGTCTTGCGCGTGCTTTCACCTTTAGCATTAAAATCCTGTGGAGGGTCACATATGGTTTCTAAGACAAGGTTATACCATTTCACTATTTAACGTGTTGAATAGGAAGTCGTTTTGGACCAGAATTTTTATAACAGTGTGAATGTTGTCGATGAGCAGTCAGTATGCGGTATCAACAAAACAATTTTCCTAAAGAAATAATTCCATGATGTAAAAATTATGTAATTATGTACTCAAATGATATTCCATTTGGTCTAGAAAAACTCCTTGCTTCCCCTTTCAATGTTGTTTGACCAGGGTGCATAAACGCTTATTGGGATATGTGAAACTTTTTTGTAGAGTGACACATTTACAATGATTCTATTTTAGCCATTAGTGGAGTTCCATGAAATGCTTGAGTAGGACTGAGCCGACATACGCCTTAAAGGCTTTTAACTATGTGCAATACATGGTTGCTTGCCTCATGTGTTTTTTTATTCTACAGCTCATCTTCAAGAAGTTCTCCTCTGGAAAATCAGAGAGTGACAGCTGCACACTATACAGTAAACACCCGCATATAAGAACCCAGAATTTTCGAGATCAGGCTGAACAGGTTTTTATATTTCAAGGTAATTTTTGACAAAGCAGGTTGATTAGGTTCTTAATAGGTTCTTAATTTTTCAAAGTTTGCCATAACATAGTCATTTACAAAAATATTACCATACTAGTACACAATGGTTTAGAACTAGTTTAAATAACAAACATATGCATGCCAAGATAAATATATACACAATAACATATTAGAGGTTTCACACACAGTTAACAGCCAGAATTTTGATAATCGAAGGTGGAGTGATCTTTTGTATAAAAACCTCTTTTCCTCGCCAGGCTAATCAGGTTCTTATGAACATGAGTAATTAAGCTGCCAAATTTCAGCCTGTAGGTTCTTAAATCTTTAGTTTCTTATATGCGGGTGTTTACTGTATTCCGACCACACCCTTATAAACATGGAGTCCTGACATACTGTTCATCATCCTTAAGTCAAGAGTGATTGCTGCTGCAATGTCAGTACTGGGGTTTACACACAAACACAGACAACCAACCAAGTTTCCACTTCCTACAAACATTGCCAAGCAATCCAGAGCGCAACAATTAGAGTATTTAAAAAAGCTACCTCATTAATTGTAGACAAATTTGTGTTCAATTATAATTCTGTCATAACTAGCAAACATTTTGAAATTAATTATGGACAAAAGCGTATGGTTGTGAATGGAAAATATTGCGTAGATGTGTAAAATTTCGTATTTTTACTTTACTTGAAACTGAAATATTATTTTACATGTAAGTTGTTTATTTATTTATCTATTAAACTGCCTTTTGAAATGCGCCAGCATCACTCTTCTTACCAAAGTTAACAACGTAGAGGATATCGGGAAAGATCTTAGACCTAATTCCCTTGCCCTTACTTTATTGAAAATCGCAGAACATTTTATTGTTCCACAGCATGTGAAGCCAGCTGTTCTGAAACGGTTACACCCAGACCAGTTTGAATGTATTTCAGGTTCCTCTACTACACATGCCCTAGCATGTTCCACAAGTTTGCAATCTCCATGGAACTGGGGACTGTCTATGGACCTTTGTTCTGGATTACAGAAAAGCCTTTCACTTGATACATCATACATACATCATTATCATGGTCAGGATGTTCTCTTGCGTTTATGTGCCTCACACTAATTAAAACATGAATATACAATAATGCATTGTAAAATGACTTTCTCCATTTGCAAAAAGTTTATGTTATCTGTGATGGAATCTGCAAGCGTTCCTGAACCTTAGAACGACATTGCAGCTCTATCTAATCACGAGTTAATTGTAGTTAATATCTTTAAAACATTTTAGTCATGATGCAACATTCTCAGATGGTTTGGGTCGTCTTGTCAATGATTCAAGAGCAAGATGTGACAGCAAATAACTGCGAGATGAAAAGAATCGTTCATGACAAAAAGGTCAACTTGTGTTTGTTTACAGCTAAAGATATACCTGCAATTTATTAACACAGGGAAATTTTTAAACACCACCACATAACCCACATAATAATACATACCAAAAACACCACATAATAAATAACCATAATAGGAAATACCAAA